CCTTGAGATGACTCTACTACAATTGAGTTTGGTCTCATGTGACACAGAAGGAATGGGATATCCTGCTCACGGACTCAGTACATGGATTCATAGCATCGTGAAGTGGGTTGTGGCTGATTGGGGAAGTTCCATGGTTCCATCATCGCCTGACGAAGGGTGGTGATAAGTGGCAAGATGATGGCGGTGTACTGCTTGCCCTTGATGATGTTATAAAATTTATCGGTATTGGGATCGAAGTGGTGCTGGGCTTCGATCTCCAATGACCTCGTAAGTCTTGCCATTAATTCCCCAAACACTGAGTAAGGCTCTTCCGGTGCGCTGCGACCTTGTGTGGTGATCACAGTGTCTGGCGAAGTCGAAGCTACTTCGGAATCCTCCAAGTCTGAGTCATAATGAGGTGGAAGGCTGGAGGAGGAACTGACAGGTGAAGAAGGGAGTCTGGATTGAGCCGCTCTGGAGGTTGATGAAACGTCTCTCGGAACCGGAGAGTGGGTACGATCATGTACCAAGGGGTAATACCCATAGGGTGCATAGTCATCCTATGGTTCATGATGAGTCAACCTATGGGGCGCTTGTACCCATTCTCCAGAGGGACAGATGGAGGCACACTGCTGGTATCGCACCTGTTGAGGCGGGGCCCTTGGGGAAGTCTCAGGTGACAGCTGAGGAGTGGGTCAGCATGCCATTGGAGGAGAGTCTCAGATCTCTCCATCAGAGATGGATCCCAACATGGCAGCCTCCTGATGTTCAGGCGAAGACAAGATGGAAGGGGCGACCCATCATGGGGACCTGGCAGAGTCACTTGCATGAGCCGGCCTGGTCGGTGTCGGTACCAAAGCGGCCGTTGGGATCGACCGGGCAGACGAACCTGAATCACGGTGTCAGGGTTGGTCAGTTTTCTTGGACTTGTGCGCCGCCTTATTCACCTTGTCCTTCTTAGGCTTCTTATGGCCTGAGGACTCGTCTGACCCACTATGCTTCCTCTTCTCCTTTTGCTTATGTGGAGGTGTAGAGGAGTGTTGACTCTCCAACAAGGGAGCACCATCAGCCAATGGGCAGGGCGGAGGGGTAGCTGAAGAAGAGGAAGGCGCAGCAGATTTGCCTGCTAGTTGATTGGATTGAAGCAGGGCTTGGTCCCACAAGAGTTTGCGCAGACAGTTTTCTCAATTTTTCCTCGCCTGCTTAGTAAAGGCCTGCCAGTGGCCGCGTTTATCAGTCCTGTGCCCTTCTCCAAGACAGAGAAGGCACAGGTCGTGCGGATCAGTAGGCAACAATTTAGATCCGCACTGAGAACACTTGCGGAAAGCTGCACGCTGAGCCATCAAGGATGAAAAAGGAGAAGATAGCTAAGGTAAGAACAGAGAGAGAGCACTCTTTCTTTTGGGGTGGGGGGACAGGAAAAAGGGAATGGGGATAAGAAGAAAACTTCTAACAGGGAGTGTAGTAACTTGGAATCTTAACAAGCTAAGAGAAAAACAGAACTTTAGGTAACAAGATATACGATATAGTACAAACTGAGAGGCGAAAGGGATTGAGGCACAGCAACTGGCGGTCACAAGAAGACTGAGGAAATGGCGGGCACTCTGCCTTCTTATACTGTAGTGGGGAGGGAAGCGGAGTTTCCCGCCAAAACCGTTAAGCTTTCAACTTTCTGGCCACAGGCACTGTGCAGGCACAGCACCCATATGTGTGATGCACAGAGGCCACGATGAACATTTAAAAATGGAATTCACCTTAGTCCATCTTTTCAACACTTTTGCCCTTGCTCCAACTTTTCCCACATGATGAGATGATATGAGCATCTCAGTGGTGTTCAACTGTCATTGGGATGGATAAACTAATATTTACTTAGTTTATTCCTCTATAGGCATTGCAGTAAACCCTTTGCCTTGACTGGGGTTGTTTCATGTGACCTTCTTCTATTCAGGGATGTCATTTATATATGTCCCATGACTTACAAAGCCTTATGAAGGACAGGTCCAGCCTACAGGAAGTCCTCTACATATGAACCTTCAAGTTGAGAACCTTCAAAGATGTGAACGGGCTTTTTTTTAGCTTACTGTAATAATTGAGAGAGGTGAGTCCAGCAAAGTGTAACACAGGTCACACCAACCTAATGGCAATGCCATGTGAGGAAGCACCCATCAGATGAACAAGGCTGCACTTCCACACTGCCATGTACACAAAGTATAACTTCCAGAAGTCTTCCAGTGACATCAATGGAAGTCCTCCAGTGTTGTTATAAACCTGTTACAGAACAGTGCTATATAGCCAATTGTGTTAGTTGGATACCTAGGCTAACTTTGTTGGACTTATGGACAAATTGGACTTATGAACACACACTCAGAGCAGAACTCATTTGTATGTAGAGGACTTCCTGTATTTGAAAGATGATAGTCTCCCCTATGAGTCTGTCCATACCCTAAGATCTTCAGGAGAGGCTATTGTCTTGGGCCCACTTCTTGCAAAGGGCCACTTGGTGGGAGTGTGGAAGAGGGTCTTTTCAGTAGTTGTCCCAAGGCTCTGGGACTCCCTGCCCAGGGAGGCTGGATTGGAAGCCTCCCTGTTATGATTTGGAGGCAAATGAAAACCTTTACTTGTTAAAAGAAAAAGAAAAAAAACACCTTTCAGGTCTTTGTGAATAACCTGTACCTATGAGATTATGTTAGAAGAGCTCTGTTGCCTATATTATTTTTAGTTTTCATTTTGGCATTTTATAGTGTAGTGTATAATAATGTAATTAATTTATGTATATGTTAACTTTTGTATATTTTTATCAATATTTTAATTGTTCAGTTTTTACTCTTGTAGGCCACTTGAAACCCAGTGTTAGGAATAGGTGGAATATGAATAAATGTAATAATACGCATCACATATGATTCATAGCACAGCCCAATGTGTCATTACCTGGAAGCCACTCCAACTGCACTCAGTGGCACCTACTTTCAGGTAAGTGTGCAAAGGATTGCTGCTTTACAGAGTGCAATCCACTGTAAGTGTAAATTTAATTGGAAGCAAATTCCAGTGTGTTCAACAGAAATTGCTTTATAGTAATTTCTACTGAATTACAGCCTTTGTTTTTCAGAGAGTGATGATTACAAACTTCCTTAAATTGGCCTTCCTGTCTCTATCATCTTTTATGATTCTGCACATCAAAAACACCCTTATGCCATATAAAACCCTACAACTTTGCCTACAACTTTATTTGTAGACAACCTGACTTTAAGCCTTTTCTTCTCCATAATACTGCCTCTCATGACCAATTCAATTTCTACTGAATGAAAAACTTCAGGAGAGTTGCAGAAAGTGAAACTGGTTCAAGCAAATAAACAACTTGAGGCATTACTTAATTAAGAAAAACTCTCCTGGAGCAAACCAAACATCTGGTCTAGTGTCCCATTTCCAATAGTGATCAGCAAAATGCTTCCAGGAAGGCCATAAACAGGTCGCAAAAGCAATGTTGCTGCTGAGCAATGCATCGAAGCAGCAGCTCAATAATGATTAATAAGTCTCCAGTTCTTAACTGCCTAAAAATAAATATATACTATGTCCTGATTCGAATCTGATGTTCCTTTGTTCAAATCTACTTCTGGCTCCCAGAAACCTTTTGACTAAGCCAGCTGTACATTTGGCCAATCACATCCAGTCAAACAGCATGTAAGCTGATAACAGCTCATTCTGAGGTGCCTTCTGGCTTCCTTCCTTCTACTTTGCCCTGAGCAAAGTCTATGCAACATCAGTGGGTCCTAACATACGTCCAGGTGCTGTTCCAACTCCCAGGCTTTAGATTTGGTGAACCAGGATTTCTGGTACAGGATTTGTTTTCCTGTTTTATCAGGTATCTTCACTATGTTTTCTCCCTACTTATGTGTGCCTTTACTATAATAAATTTACTTTATTTGGTTATAGAGCTTCATTGTGTTCCCTGTTTGCACTTTTCTAGGCCTAGTTGATCTCCTTATGCTACCCAGACTGTTTGGGTTACACTTACCAGAATACCCAGTGAAACCCAGAAAGAGGGAGGGAAAGACAAATTAAGTATTGACTAGCAGAGACTGGAGCTTTAGCCGGCTATCTTCCTCTGAGCAAATGCTAGACAGCAGGGAAAGTTGATCTACTTCCTGTGTAAACTAGCTAATTTAGAACTAGTGCTAGTAAAAAAAATAAAAATAAAAATGAGCAAGGAGTGTGTGATCCAGTGACCTAGCCTGAAGGGCTGGCACTGGTCATGGTCCAATCTTGACAATCTTGAGTTATTGCAACATTTCTACTGACTAGTTGTAGCTCACTCATCTATGAATTGGCTTCAAGTACGTGGGCAAGGAAGTTGTGCATGGCCAGCTAGTCTCTTCGGTCTCTAGATAAATATAACTAGAACTTTAAAAAAGAGTAGCATCAGGTAGTATGATAACCCACAGTGAAGTGTTGAGTTTGAATTGCATGTAGGTTCTTGTTGAATTGTGGGTTCAACAATGACTTGTTAACAAGCAACACATTAAGAGACCCCATGGTTTATTGCTGGGTTGTGAATTGTTGGTTGTTCACCATAACTTGTTAGGATTCAAACAGCACAATCAACCATATTTCAGGAACAACCCATAGTTCAAGAAAACCTACATTCAGCCCTTGAGTGAAGGTTATTGTGTTGCCTCAACCTAGGCGAGAAGCCTTACCTAAAATAAATCTTTCCTTTTCAATTCCTTCAGCCAGTTTGGCTTATTTCTGCATGCACTGTTAGAAAAGAGCTATTAAGTCTTTATTTGCATGCAAAGAACAGCAGACAATACTTATCTCAAGGACACTTCCAGAATTGAGGGGGATTCATCCCCCACGTGATGAGACACCACCCATCACTCAGAAGCCAGGCTGGGGCGGGGCAACAACCAGGAGATAATTTAGACAGACATTTGTTATCTTGTGCTCACTTCTTCACCTCAAAACATAAGCTGTTAACAGCGCCATGCCTCATCCAAAGAAGAAACGGTGCTGTATCTACTTACGATCACTTCCAGCTTCCCCGTAACATGATGTGACTTGATGACCCAATTGACAAACTGTCTGCACTTGAGGATAAGTACAAGATCCCTGACAAGTGTAGCGTCTGGCCGGGATGGTCGAATGTCGATGATGATATCCACCTGGAAAGCACTGAATGTGGAAAATAAAAGCAGAGTATGTGCCTGAATGCCAGTAATTTTCAACTATCAACCTTCTTCCAATCCATCAAGTTTCCAGTGTCTGGCCAGCTGATTAAAATGCTGGAGTTTATCCCAGACAGTACAACATGTGCAAAACAGACTATTACGCCACACATGCTAAAACAATTTTACATAACAATGGAAACAAATTGTTTTCCTCGCTAATAATTACTGCCCAACAGCTTTCCTTTCTCATTTCAACTTTGCTGGCTACACGTTCTCTCTCTTCTGGAGTGATAGCTAAAGACTATCACTTGGAACTTGTGTTGCATGTAGAATGTTTAAGTGTGCGCATGGATGCAATGTTTTCTCATTTCTGTATCACAAGTTTTAGATACACATTTAGATCCAATACATTGCTTTCATTTGAAACACACTTCACCTTAACATACCTCAGAATTATAACTTGGCAAGATCACTGTAGCAGAAAACTAAAAAAAAAAAAAAAAGCTGGAAAAATGTTCCTGCCTGTTGAGCTTTGGAAACTATATTTCCTAGGACATTTGCACATATAGACTTACATGTGGCTTTCTTTCAAATTCTAAATGAAATATAGGCATAATAAAGGGCAGTTTTTAAGGATTCTGCCAGCTGCATTACATCAGCATTACCCAATTTCCCATTCTTTAGCTCTTGCTTATGAATAGGCCTGCCCTCCACCTGTTCTCCCGAGCAGCTTTCTCCCTGTTCACAAGTACCTTCTCTCTCTTCATTACTCCAGATTACTCTCATTCAGCCACATGCTCTGCTCTTCATTGCCTCCCCAGACTCCTACCTCACCCTTGTTTTAGGCCTTGAGCTTGTTTTGTTGCTTTTTGCACAGGCCCTTCTGCCCGTTTGAGCAGCTCTGCCAATAGCTGCAAGGGACTCTTTCTCCGGCTCCATCCTCTGTGACATGAGGACTGCTGCTCAGCCTGACACAGCCTGGGAGATCACCACACCGCCTCTTTGGGATCAGAGCAGTATGACAGAGCTTCGAAATGTTGCCCCTACCCCTGCAGCCGGTCACGTACTGACAGATCAGAAGTGGGCAAGTACAATCTAGATTTGCAAGACAGAAGCGGTGAGAAATGCTCAAAGAGGATCTCCCCTTTTCTTTGGAACTACTCTGAAGTTTTTGTAGTGTTGCAGAATTAAAACTGAACAAAATCCAGGACTAATTATAAAGTCCTGGATTATAAGGTTACATTTAAATCCACTTCCTAAGGTGTCTGAGAAAAACCCACAGAGAACACACAAGTCTTTTTTTTCCTGTTTATGCCATTTTTTCCTTAGTTTTGTTTGCTTTCCTCTTTGATTCAAAGGGCAAACACTGCATACAGATCAGCTGCAACCCAGAGAGCTCTTTATAGTTGCAAATATGACACCTCCCTCTAGTTCTGAATGGACTTCCAAAATATTTTACTATGTGGTGAGGAGGGAGGCAAGGTCCTTAATGAAAATAAATGTGAATTTTCTCGTGTATCCTATTATTTTCATTTTCACAACTATAAATCCATCTAATAGAATTCACCAACATCAAACTACTGACAGCTATCACTTCTTCTATGGCCTAAGTTTTACTTCCTGCCTTTTAGTGGGCAGTATATAAAAAAGCAAAGTGCGTTTGGGCAATGACAAGAAAAGGAGCATTTTCAACATACTATTGAGGGTTTTTGCACGCGCATGCGCACACACACACACACATTCCTGTACTTATGAGTCTAGTGTTTGCTAGAATAATAGAAGCTTAAGACAAAAAGCAGTAATAATGAGCCCAGTTTGGAAGACCCACCCAGAGGCTTACTTTATCCCCAAAATTCATGTCTGGGGCCCCACTGTTCTGTCTTATAAGACAGCCCCCTGTTTTGGAGAGCTGGAGAGCTTCTTTTTGAAGGTTTCCTCTGCTTCTGGGCTCCAGCACCCAAGTCTGGTTTTATTGGTAGACAAGCATAACATGAAAGGAGAGTCAGAAAGGGGTCTGAGGTTGTCCATCTGCATGTAAGCAGCACACAAATGCACAGAAGATGGTGGAGATCCACAGGTCCACAAGTCAGTCTGTTTACTATGCCTCGTATTTGCTTGCCTTGCCTTTATGCTATGCAATGCAAATTGTATTTCTATTCTATTAAAATAATACTTCTTAGTATTACTTCTAAATGTGCATTCATACATGCATATTTGCCTGTGAGGACATTATGCAAATAGTGTCCTCTTTTGTGATTGTGCACTTCTTCTTGGGTCCTGACTACAGAATGCGCTCCCCAGAGAGGTCCGCCTGGCACTGTCATTATATGTTTTTTGGCACCAGGTCAAGACCTTTTTATTTAATCAATATTTTAATATGTTTTAATGGGAATTGGATTTTATTGTTTGCATTTTATTAATTGCAGCCAGAGTGGAAGTGTCAATTTACCTATTTTATTTTGATTTATATTGTAAGCCATCCAGAGATGCAAGTAATGGACGGCATAATAAATAAATCAATAAATAAATAAATAAATAAATAAAGTGTCAGCATTCACCCTAGCTGCAGGTGAGATGGGGTGTGGATCTTGGTCTCCTGTACTTCCCCTTCTCCTCCAAGGTGACGTCCTAAACATGGAAGTGTTTTCATGGTCAAGCAAAGTTTGAATAGGTCCTGTAAGACTATGATCAATTAAAATTACTTCTCAAAGTTTTAGGTCAGAAGCCAATAGCTGTATTACACTTAGCAGCATTTTTACCTTAAAATAATCTGGGACTTGGATTCAAAATTCTAGGCAAAAGGCTACATCCAACTTTAATATGGTTTAAAGGCTAAGCACCAAGTTTCTCTCTTGTTTAAAAAGTTTGCTGTAAGATATTGATACCCTTCTTTCAAAGCATCATAATCCACATGTCTTTATACTAATTCTACTTCACCTGTTTTGCATTCACAGATTTTCCAGCAAATCTGTTCTCACAGAGCATAATAAAATTTTCTTACATCCTACACTTTTCTTCTGCATCAGCCTTTCTTAACCTGGTGGCCTTAAGATGTTTTGGATAACTCCCAGCCTTCCTGACCATTGGCCTTGCTGGCTGCAGCTGATGGAAGTTGTGTCCAAAACATCTGGAGGTCTCCTGAATGTGAAATGCTGATCTAGATAGATACTGCATGTCTTTAAAGCTGTGTCTTGGGCTGAAGTCAAACTAGAGAAGCTATTCCTGGCTTGGAGAAATATAATATGATCAAGCCATTTACCTGTATGGATTAGAGTCTGGTGTGATCAGCTCAATTATATGAACTTCTCTTTCATGGCCAATGCTGGAGACAATGCAACCTTCTGCTGCCTTTGGCTGTAGATAGCCCGCAAGGTAGTTCAGAGAAATGAAGTTCTTTTCTATATTGCAGGTTGTGGGAAAAAATTGATCTGAAGAAAGAGAGAGGGGGGAATGGGAGGGAAGGAGGAGAAAAGATGTATTTAACACATGGACCAGTTCCAACCATCAATCCTAGTTTATCAAATGCAGTTATAGAGATAAAGTTTACCATAGTGACAAGCCAACTAGCTCCTGCTAAAACATGCTATTCTTCAAAACAAAACAAGAACAAATGCCCAGGAAAATATATTAGCATACAATAATTTGTAAACTGTCTGCATTTCCACCTGCATATTCCAAGATATTGTCAGACAGCAGTCAAATGTGCATTGGGGAAAACAGTTGGAACATGCATGCTGCTGGCTACACAGAAGATGCTCACCATCATTGGATGACCCAGTGGGTCCGCTATTAAGTGAGAACAAGAAAAGCATGTCTCCATTTGCAATCCCCACACACTGCATATCTATAAATATCCCATCCACTCATTCAAAATGAAATATTGGAACCTTTCCTCATAGATGAGTTGTTCCCAGGCCTTTCAAAATCTTTCCCAGAGAGGCAATGCCCTTTTTCAAGCAAAACAACTAAAACACTGCATTTTAGGGGCCTGCAATGCAGTGCCCATGGGGCACAGCATCCCACCAAGCTCTCTACTCCCTGCTCACTTCAATTTTTTTTTTTTAATTTTAAAAAACAGAAAAGCATTAAGATGCCTGGTTCTTCTTCCTGCTGATCAATCAGGACAGGAAGAGAAGGAAAGAGTTGTTTCCTGCCCCACCTAATCTTCTATCCACACAGAGCCTTCCCCTTTGCTAGCTATCTCTCCCCTCATAACCAGTCTCTAGCCTTGCCATTTTTCTCCACTCAACCACTTTTCTCATGATTTATTCCCCTTTCCTATCTCTAGCCTTCTTCTTTCCTTTCTAGTTCCCAGCCTTGTTCTTTCTCTCCCAATCATTCCTTATCTTGCTGTTCTCTCCACTTGCAGCTTCTGTGCTCACTACTTCTTTCTTGTCCACCTATTACCTTGCTGTTGCTTCCTCTCTTCGCCCTTTCTCTCCTGTTTGCCTTGCTATTTCCCTCTCCTTCCTAGACTGTAGCGTCCCTACTTTCGTCTCCACAACACACCTCTGTGGACAGTATCTATTATGTGACTAGCCACATCATCTGTGTGCGCCATCATGTGGTGGTTCCCACAGCACTCAAATTCCCAGATGTGCCCACAGGTCCTAAACCATGGGGGACCCCTGAGGTACACACTATATCAAGTGTGGCCACACATCACTTTCTATGAAGGTGCCGGAAGACTGGCTGTTTTAGTTCAATTGCTTTTCTTATTAAGTGGTTTTTGAAGGCTTATTTTACCTTCTTCTCCAGAAGATCCTTCTACGTAAACTATCAGAGACTAAATCTATTCATAGAGTTTGACAGAACACTCCCCAAACATCTGTTAAGTACACTGCCAGATGGGATCTAAAAGCAGTAGATATTCTGCCAACTCCTCCCACACAGATGACAGAAAGTGATCCCGGAGTTGGCCATGCCGAACTCAAATTAATGCACATAAAACAGCATGCAAATATAATTCTCAATACTAGCAATGCAATATTTTTAAATTAGTAAATGGCTTGCCAACAATTTCTCTAGGAAAATTGCTACATGTTATAAGGCAATTCATTGCAAGAGATTTCCTGTATTTTCATTATGTGTTTCTGGAACCTCTCCTGTTCCAATCAACAACATTTCCAAGGAAAGGTCTCTACACTATTACGCTTTCTTTCAACTGTTCACTTAAAGTGTTATCATCAACTATTGCAGCTATTTAGTTGACTTACAGCCATGCTAACTGATAAAGTTTGACTATAAAAGGTCCCATTTTCAGTTACTGGCTTCTCCAGCTTAAGATGGGAAATACTCCAGTCCAAATCCAGGAACAGCTGCTACCAGTCCATGAACACCAGGGATTTTGACCAGGGCCAGTGGGTTAAATAGGCTAACAGGCTGTGACTGAGGGCTTATGATTTTCACAATTCAGCACTGGTGTATTTTATCAATTTGCCCCTAAAGGTGCCTCCTTAAAGGGGCTCATCTCAGCAGTCACACATATGGCCTGTGGCTTTCATAATATGTCACCGGTTTTGATGATGATACTTATGAAGGAAAAAAAGTTACCCAAAGTTTTGATTTCTAGAACAAAAAAGTGATTAAATGGTCCCTCAACATCCCCAGCAAATTTGAAGCAGTACACTAGAAAAGTAAGTTTGGGAACACTTGTGTAGAAAATACTAATGGACAAGTGGCCCAGCTCAGTTTCCATGTTTCTATGAGCCACTGTTAGTTGTTCAGTTCTAGACTATGACTCCAAAGAAAAGTAATCATTTTAAGGATGGACCAAAATGGATTTTTGAAATCTTTTATTATGTGTTATGAAACAAAATCTTAAATCATACCTCAAAGAGAAAAAAGTAAGATATTTACAGTTTTTCTGGATAGGATTTTAAAAGATCCCCAATTGCATATAGCTAGTATATCCCTATGTATTTCAATATAATAGAACATACCAATGCTTTGGTTCTGCTTTCTATTTATTGCACTTCTAAGTGAAGGCTTAGTAAGACTGGTACATTGCTAGCCGTGATGTAGCTTGTTCTTTAAAAAGGGGTGCCTTAATTACATACTTATTAACTTGTTTTACTAAGCATTCTCACATCCTTGTTTATGGAAAACAATACAATAATAGTTCCATACTGTCCAGGCCAGAGTGTTTCAAACTTTACTTCAATATACTTATATCCTTCCTTTTTTCCCTATCTTAAAACAGAAGATGGTATACAGGGGCTTTCCAGGTGCCTTCCTACTACAAGAGCCATAACTGCTTAACTTCAGCCAGGTTGCTGCAGCTTATTTATCACTTCTAGCTGGCTGTAGACATTAGAGTAGTAGTGTTACTGTGGATAAATCTTCAATACTGCTTAACAAAGGTCCACCACACCATGTTTGGGGGCATTCAGGTAGGGCCTTAGCAGATCTTGTGTTATCTAGTAAAGTTCAGGTGATAAGGCCTTGTGAGCCTTTAAATATCACATGCGTAAACATTGCTAGGTTTGTGTGAGTTTTCATGCAGAAAAACATGTCTTCCTAAGCAGACAAGTAAATGTAGAAAGCGTTCCTTAAAGACAGAAAGCCTCCTTTGTGATAGAAAGCTTGAAAATTATTGCTCCAAATCATTTGCGATGTATGCATTTCTCCATTTACCAGCCACCTGTTTCTTCTCCACATGAGCATAAAGCACAACTTAACCTCACTTTCAAAAGTAAATATAATGAATCCTACTAATCTTCATCTGTCCTCCTTTACTGCACTGTATGGTTCATATAGTGGTATGAAAGGAATTGTAAATAGCTAGATATCTGATGAGGATTTGGTAGAGCAGCCTGGAGCACCAACAGCCAAGGAACACAAAGTATTGGAACCATACAACGCAAGCAACAGGTAATGTCCCATGCAGGCTGCCAACCTGCTTGCCTGCAATTCAGAAGCAAATCTTGAAGGCTACTACTTTCACTGGAGCAGACTGTGGTCTGCTCCATTCTACACAAATTAGGTGTTAGCATCCAGTTCCCAGCCAACATGACCCAGTGTTGGAATAAGCTTGACTGTTCTTGACTTATCAATATGAGGACTTCTTTTCTGAATACATTAGGATCATTTATCATGTATTTTCTTTCCTCAATAAAATTATTATTGCTAACGGCTATTATTATTATTGCTCTCAGCGGCAAGATTTCTTCCCAGTGACAGAACTTTTGCTAGAAGGTTTAACTCTAGGATGCTCAGGAGACAAAGGGATTAGAGACCAGAAGCTAACAAATGCTGAAACAAGAGAGGAAGTTTCTCTACTGAAACAATAATGTTAAGTTGGTTCAGAAAGATTTTGAACTATTGCCAAATGATCGATGCCTTCCTGTGCAACTGGCTACTCAGAATGGTTACAGAGTAAGTACAAAAGTGGACAAAGCCCCCAAAGGACCAGCAGATCTATATGGAAAAAAAGAAATGTAGGAATATGGCAACATGCCGCTATAATATGGTGGACTCCAACATGAGGAATCTGAAGTAGCACAGCAATCCTGTTATGAATTGTGCAACCCAGAGAAAGAGAAGGCAGGAAAAATGTATATATTAGTAGATTTTGTTTAACATAAACGAGTGAAGTGAATAGGTTTGCAAGATCAAGTGGGTGAAAAGGGAAGAACAATTATTTAAAGAAAGTAAAGAAAATGGTAGAAAGGTCAGAGAATGCTGAAAAAATACTCAGGTGTGCAGAGAGAAGCACTTCCTGATCTAGGCATAATGGTGGCCAAAACGAAATGAGGGAATGGGTGGGAACCCCTCCCACGTTAACATGTAAAAAGAAGGGGGGATCCAACCCAATTGAATGCTTAGCTATAGAAACTTCCCACACAGGTACAGAGCCCATGTGTGTGATGCACAGAGACCAGGAAAAGAGCTGTCATACCCAATTGCAAAAACTTTCTGATCTGGTTAACTTTCTTGTTAACCAGAGGATCATTCTGAATAACAGGAGAGGTAAATTTTGGCAAAACAGTTGGCATAATGCTTGCTTCCTGCATCTCTCATTCCTAACCTCAGGTTTGGCAACACAGGGGAGAGATCAAGAAGTACTCCTCAGAGGGCAAGCATCAGTCATAATGGTCTACAGTTATTGTTTACTGTAACTGGTGTACGTACACACGCACACACACCCTGCATTCAAACTCTTGCCATGACAAATGTACAAAGGAAACAACTGTTGGAATGATATTCAGTGTAGTGCCAACAAGCAAATTCCCAAAGAAGAACTTGTAAAATGAAGACTGATGGAATTCCATTCACTAACATACAGCCCATACAGCCCTTTTGTTTACAAGACTTACCTTCTCCCACTTTGATGTAAACATTTCTAGAAATTTTGAGTTCGGTGAAAGATGTTACTGCCCCGTATTCCTCTTGGGCCCACTCTAATAGATGTTTATTTCCTTGTGGAAGGGGCTTTTCCTCTATTTTTGCTGACAAGGAGAAGTTTTCTTTCTCAAAGGTCACAATAGAACCTGCTGAAACCTGAGAATAGAAACATCCTTTTAATGTGAAATTCACCTGGTAGAGGCCAATCATTCCTCCAAGCAGTCATTTAAATCTGCCGTACCAAAACCTGCTCATCATAGGAGTTTTTACTATAACATCTGCTAAATAGATGCTACTGTAAACCATGGGGGCAAGGAGCATTCACTTTGAATATGGCTTCATAAGAGAGAACATGAGGTTGGATTCTCCTCAGTTATAAATGACACTGATAAATAATAAAAGGTTCCATATGGATGAGGATTTCTTTTGTGGGAGGTGGGGAGTGGGAACATTCATTGCTATGTTCTTGACAGAAAAATAGGTGTCTGTGGTTTTAATGTGTGGTCCAAAATGTTAGAGATTAATGACAGTAGACCTTTCTCAGCTGTATGCATAGATTAATGAATAAACAAAACAAAAGCACAAATGTCGTCTAATTAAGAAGCTTCAGCTCAGGTATTTCCAGGCATTACTTCAGGAAACATATGTGACCTCATCTCAGAAGGGCTTTAAAGCTATGGAAGAACCAAGTCACAGCTTATGCTATGATAGTGCCACACAAACGAAGGATGGAACTTCAAAAGTATTTGCTGCATTTACAGCTTCCAGCACAGAGTCCATGTGCACCTCAACAGCCTGTACTGATATCAATATATGTTTCAATAAAGGGCTTGAAATCAATGAACCTATGAAGCTGCCATATATGGCATCAGACAATCAGTGCATCTCAGACAGTATTGTTGGAATAACAATCTTCCACAGGGAGGTGATGCAGGAATTATTGAGTCAAGTTCAAAAACGCCATGGAGCAATCTGCATTAAAGCTTGCACTCATGTCAAATTCTGCTTATTCCACCCAGATAAAGCCAAGCAACCATGCTGGAGCAATGAAATAAACCCCTCTGGTAAAAACAGAGCTTATCTAATCTAAGAGGTAGATAGAAGATATTAAGGGCTTCTAGGTAAAATAGATATAAATGCCTGCCCATTGATCAGCCTATAGTATATGCAGAGTGAACTGTAATGATAGTTTTGAGAAACAAGAGTCTCACTGATGAGCTTGCTATGTAAAGAGACACTGGCTTACAAAGCAACATTTAAGCCACTATGGAGCAGCTCATAGAACTTTGGCTGAGGGGTGGCATGGAAAGGCAATAAATAAATAAATGTGTTCCACAGAGAGAATGTTCTGAGGGCTGTAAGACACCACAGGGGATGTTCTTATGGCTTATGTTCCACTGCTGACAATGCAGGGACAATCAGGGCTTCACAGTCACCTGTCTATCATGTCACCGCATTCACAGCTTTTTAAATTTTTTTCAGTCTAAAATACAACCAAAAAATACAGCTAAAATAAAAACATGTAAGTTTAAACATATAATTAAAATAAATCTTATAGATACTGCCCCCCTCCCCCGGAGACCATAGATACATGTTACAGAAAATAAAACTCATTCAAAGATTCTTTCCAGACATTTCCCCCTTCCAAAATTGCAATGATTCTTTTGATGGTTCAAATCCTTTCCCTTTTTAAAACACATACTCAATGAATGCATCCCAAATCTCATTAAACTTATTTTTCTTAATATACCCCTTTCTCACTTTAATATCACGGGTTTAATAGCTATATCCAAACTTCTCTCCCCTCCTTCACATCTCTGCCAACTCTTGGCCAATCTTGAATGGCATTAATTGGCAACTTGCAAGGGACTGAGCAGACAGGTGGGTCAGAATAGTAATGGCTTTAAAAAATTCTAGGAACTAGTAGACAGTAAAGCAGCCCTCTAACACTTGACATGAATAACTTTTTGGGAAGATATTCAGCCTCACTTATTTGAACACTGTACACTTTGCACCAAGGGTATGCAAGTTGGTACTCTCTAGATGTCTTGGAGTACAATTCCCATAGACATGTCAGCATGGTCAATGAGCAGGGATTCTGCATAGTTCAAAACATCTGGCGGGCACCAGACTTTTGTAGCATAACTTGGTTCTACATATTGGTCTGGAGTTGCTGGGGTTAGAACCAGGAGCCTTTGGCTCTCTACTCAGCTGCCTGTTGAATGAGCCATCAGGGCTGCAGCTGGGAGCAGCTGCTTGGACAGGGAAAGCTCCTCATGTACTTGACTAGTTCTATCCATCCAGGCTGGACATGGGTTTTTCTTCAGTGAAAGGACTATGAAAGGCTTCCTGTCCATGATACAACTTTTCCTGTGCAGCAACTGACTTCCTGGGTCTGTGGTGTTCCGATGTTTTGCTCTTTCTCTGGAATGACTCCTGACTCAATAGCTGCCCATTAATCAGGCCTGACAACAACCCAGAACCCGACCTCCATAACTCTGGGCTTGCGGACATTTTCCATGCTTTTTTAAATCCAGCTACGGCAGTCACCTACTATATGATAGATTCCTGAAATAGAAAAAGGGGATACATTTTTACGTTAATAAAAATAATGACGATTTGCAGTGTGCTTTCCCCTCCCATCAGCACCTCTTTTTAAAAACAAAGCTCTGATTTCCACAGAGCCCATAGGAAGTGCAGACCAGGGGGTGGGCTTCTTTTGTAAATCAGGTAGTTCTCTGTGGAGGGAGAAAAGCCAACACATGCCTGTGACCATGACATATGAGCCAGATGCACTGGTGATTCTCCACCCCATCCCAAATATTGTAGCAACTTCACTCCCAAAGCTCCCTATGCCTGCCAGCAGATCGGCAAAAGGGATGGTTGATTGAGGTTTGGGATCCAGGGGGTTCTTCCTAAGTGGAGATTCGTCTTGTTCAAGCTGCTTAATGCTCAGCCTAAGAAGCATGTGTTGAGACAGTTCCAGGATACGAATTGCCAGAGGAAAGTTTAATGAAATGTAAAACAATGACATTTGGAGCTCTTCTTTTATAGGAGATGGGGTACGTTCTTTCGGCATCTCTACTTAAAATGATGTATGAAGCATTACATCAAATGGAACCTGTTTTTAAATAGAAGTGTTTTATGATGGTCACATGGCCCGCGACAAATAAACAGGCTCATTGGGAGCTGGAGCAGATGTTAGTTGAAAGTTTTTGAACAATTCTGGCACAGAGAGAGGAGTTCTTGTACTGTTTTTCTTGTCTTTTACTATTTTTTGTCTGAGTGAAAAGAACTCTTCCTTGTAGGGGGGCTCTTCAAAAGACACAATATGCTATACACTCCTAATGGAGGATCTGCGTAATTAGAGAACACCAGCAGTGGGAAAGAGTACCGCATTCACCAGTGCAAACCAGATATGGAACTGGTAGAATTCCACTCTATCAACTGGGTCAAACTATGCAGATAAAATTGCATGCCTGGCTTGCAAAGACATTTTTCCTGACATAAGATTTTTCCTTCTAGTACACTTCTTTACAGTGGGAAATACATACTCCTATCCACAACGTCACAAAATCATGCAACTGGCCATTTTGTCTAGAGATCCTACACTTCTCAAAATCAGGTTTGTCAAACTTTAAACAAACCTTCCTTACATTGAGAAACACTGAGACTGCACTAGTGTCAATATCATGTACAGAGAAATAGCCATTCAAAGACATATGTGAACCATGAAGGGGCTCATAATAGCCCTTTGTTTTTTTAATGCCTGATTTATTAAACTGATAGTGTGTTCTAGTTATTAAAGTGTGGGTTTATATTGTTGACTGCAGCAACAATCTCTGATTTTTAAAACAACAAAGAAAGACCTGCTAAGGACACTGCAACTTTGTGTAAACAATGCTTTGCTGAATTGCATCCATTGTTGCAAGATACATCTGTGTTCTTCCAGATGAAGTCAGCCAAGTGTTTTCAAACCCATTTGCCGCATGTTGTTATTTGGAGCAATGCACTGTTGACTTAGTTGTCTGGGAGACATTTCTTGGTCACAGGGTTTTAGACAAATGCACCTTGTAAAACTGTCACACGATCCTCTATTTCTCCTTGTTGCTTCTGTGCTCTACTCAAATGTTAACAGTCCCTGCTTTCCCCCGAAACATGTTTCCTATGATGCAATCCTTCACACTGTGAAATTTGACAACATGAAAAAGTTATCTGTTTTCCTATATTATCTTCCTCTAAGCAAGGCCTCAGCATGATTGCATAGCTCACAGACTGATGAAAAATACTGGAAATCAGCTCCCAATATAGCTTATAAAGTAGATGAGTTCATGTACTCTGTGCATGACCTCTTTTGAAGCCCATGCCTGTGTTTACAGCACAGTACAGAGGAAGGAAACTTGGTGACCTCCAAATGTTTCATGAAAAGTATCATCTCTGACCATTGGCCATGCTGGCTGAAGCATATGGAAATACTCTTGGGTTGCTTACCCCTACGTATCTCCTCAGACCAAAGAAGCAAGAAATAATCTGAAAATATCTAGAGTGCCAGAAAATCTCTCCAAAACCTAGGCTATGGAAGGCTGGAGTATCAAGGCCCTGAAGTTTATGCTGGTTGCATTAGACACATATCAATAATGCCAATTTCTCCCTATGCTTTGGAATTTAGAAAAATAATCCTAATAATCTCTGATAATAAGAGAGCCAGTGTGGTATGGTGATTAAGAGCATGGGACTGGGACTCAGGTAATCTGGGTTCAAGTCCCTGCTCAACCATGGAACCAACTGGGTGCTTTGGGCCAATCACAGACTCTCAGCCCAACCTACCCCACAGGGTTCCGGTTGTGGAAATAAGATTGAGAGCAGCAAGAGGAGAATGGGGTAAGCTGCTTTGAGTTTGTTGTAAGAAAAAAGGTGGGACCTGAATCTGATAGATAGATAAATAAATAAATAATAACCTTGGGGTGCCATCCTATGTGTGTTTAGACAAAAAAAGTCCTACAACATCCAGCAGGGATGTCTGAGAGATACTGGGAGTCTGTAGGCCTTTTTTCTGCCTAAACATGCATAGGGTCACAACCTTAATTTATTAATCTTTAATTATTAACATCCAACATTTTCCCTGTATTGCATTATTTAACCAATACCTCTTCATA